CCATTTCCCTTAGTCTTTCTTTGTAGGACAGTCCCCTTAGCTCTGGGACTACTCTTGTTGCAATCCTTTGCACTTTCTCTAGTTTCTTGACGTGCTTGAGCAGGTGTGGATTCCAAACTGGTGCTTCATACTCCAGTATAGGCCTGATGTACAGAGTCTTGAACAATTCCTTACCGAGGTATCAGAACACTATTCTCAGGTTTTCCAGGTGCCCATATGCTGCAGCAGGTATCTGGTTGATGTGTGCTTCTGGAGACATACTCGAAATAAAGATACCTAACAACCTGTCGGTATTTTATACCATTTGAATTTTCAAGGGATGTGTTGAAAATTCTGGTTAGTGGCACACACAACACCTCTTCTCCCTCTTTAAGGAGCCACGGAGAGACGTTGTCTGGTCCCACCGCCTTTGGGGTATCAAGGTAACTTAGCAGCTTCTTCATCTCCTCGGTTGTGTGTATTTCATCCAGCACTTGTTGGTATATCCCTTGTTGGTGTACCCCTCTGTTCTGTCTTCCCAGAGTCCTTTCTGTCTCCGCTGTAAATACTTCCTTAAATCTCGTGTTGAGCTCCTTATATACTTCTTGGTCGTTTCTTGTGAGCTCCCCACCTTCTTTCCTCAGCCTGATTACCTGGTCCTTGACTGTCGTCTTCCTCCTGATGTGGCTATACAGCAGTTTCGGGTCAGACTTAACTTTCGATGCTATGTTGTTTTCATACTGTGTGTGTGTGCATCCGTGTGCATACGTGTGCGTGTGCATGCATGTGTGTGTGCATGCGTGCACGGCTCAAAACCTTGGTAATTAATAGCAACGTGTCTGTCTTTAATAGGATATGCCTAGTTCACAGGTACTGTACTGGTCATTCATCATGATGCTGGGAAATTTGAAGAGATGCCACTAGGAAGATTACCCCAACATTGATATACCTACATTGTGACAGTGTCATATGTCACAAAGTACTAGTATCGATTCCATGAAACCATTTCACCTAAAGCAACATCTTGAAAAGCTTCACTCAAGGTTAGCTCAAAAAGATCGTTCATTGTTAAAAGAAATCTGATGATTTGAAGAGACCGAGGCTGGATGGCAATGGATCCATCATAGAATAAGAAGACTCAGTTGGAGAAATCCTGATAAAGCAATGTATTCCTGATTGTGCAAAACTTGTCTTCAGTGATGATGCAGTTAACAAACTGAAGCAAATCCCGCTATGTAGTAACAGCTACAAGCCATGAATAGATTATATTAAAGATGAAGTGATTGGCAAGATAAAGTCATCAAAGTATTTTGCCATTCGGTTAGATGAGACAGCTGACATAAATCTTTCTCAGTTTCTCATTTTTGTCTGCTATATTGATGGTCAAGAAATCAAAGAGGACTTCATCTTTTGTCATCCATTGACCACGACAAAAAAAGGAGAGGATATAATGAAAGTAATTTCAAATTTGATAAAGGAGTACTATGGAGAGATGTAATCAGTGTGTACAGATGGTGGCCTAAGAATGTTGGAGGTCTCAATCTGAATTCTTGGCACTTGTCAAACATAAGAATCCTACAGTGGTTGAGATACACTGCACGACTCACAGAGAAACTCATTTTGCTCGCTGATAAATTCATTATTGCATAGGCTTGTTTTAATTTAACTTGTGTAAATTAATAGAAGCACCATAGTTAAGAATAAAGTTCAGGTGAGGGAAGGGGATTATTTTAGATTTTTTGGCAGAAGTGGGGAATGACGTTAAGATATGGTATATCAGATGCAGTTGTACGATACTTTGGTAGAGACATAAATGCAGTTATTAACCCTTTGAGGGTCGACAGGCCCTCTCCGAGACTCGTTCTCAGGGTCAGCCAAATTTAAAAAAAAAAAAAAAATTCTCTTATGAAATGATAGAGAATCTTTTCCCGATCATAATGACACCAAAAGTTTGAAATTTGATGGAAAACTTACAGAATTATGCTCTCGCGAAGTTAGCGGTCTCGGCGATGTTTATGCATCGGCGATTTTGCCCACTTTGAGCCCCATTTTCGGCCAATTCCACTGTACTAGTCGACAAAAAACATGAATATTTCGCTAGAACTCCATTTTTTCTATCGAATGAGTGCAAGAAACCACCCATTTATCAATTTCAACTATCCAGTACAGTGGTCAGAATTTAGCAATTTTGCCAATTTCACAAAATTTCAAAAGATACCAATTTCCGAATAGGGTCCATTATATATAACAAGAAAGCGTAACAATTACAGCCTGGCACTAAATTGGCAATTCGCTGATGGTCAAACACAGAAAGCATTCTCACTAAAGACCCTTCTGTCCGTCTAAGACCCTTTATCTTTTGCTTTCCACTTTGAATTTTTATTCTCACAAAAAAGATAGATTTACTGTTATGCAGACTACTGCATTAGTGTAAAAAATGGTATAAATAATATTGGCGCACTTTGAAAGAATATTAGACTCACCAGTTGACGTGTATTGGAACCTTGGCATGATTTGTTTACTTTTGAACTTTGGTAAAAATCGAACATTTCTGCTGCTTTGAGCCCAATTTCAAGGTACTATTCATTGTAAAACCAGTCAAAATCATCTCAATTTCTGTAATATGTCTTCCATTCTATAAAATGAGGCCAAGAAAACTAGAATACAATAAATACCATACGAAAATACAGTGCAAAGTCGCTGTTTTATTCCAAAAAAACGGTCACAGTTTTTTTTTTCTCATTATGCACTGTGTGCTGCAGGATTTTTTTTATACTGTGCACACTGACCACATAGACCCATTCTTTCATATGTAGGCCTACCAGCTTTCTCCCACTAGATTTGAGGGAGCTAGAATTTAGGCGTACTAGTACATCAAAAACCTGGGTCGTAAGCCGTACTAGTACGGCCGAAACCCTCAAAGGGTTAATTATGATGGCTTGCCAGTGCAGTCTGCTTTGTCGAGCCATGAACACCTGGTCACCATTACTCCCGCACATCTCAAAACATTGGAGACCTCAACCACATTCACATCACCACCATAAAGAGCAAAGATTTCTTCATCCTGTATGTGACCTCACTCCTTCCTGTGCTACCTACTTCAGAGATGATAATTTTCTTTCACTGGAAAAATTAGTGACTCCCTCAATCTACTTGTTCCTCCCCATGACTTAGTAGACCTTAATGAACTTAAATTAGTTTCAAATGTTTCTCCTTTAACAACTCCTTATTTCAACATGCTTACCTCTCAGTTCCCCAGTAAGTATTGTCCTGGCAAACCAGTCTATATGGTTCATCTTTAAGCTGAGTTTTTCCTCCACCATCCCCCCCCCTCTGTTTCCTGGCTTCGCTAAGGGGTCAGCATAGTCGTTACTTTAAGATGACTTGACTTCTCTACACACTAATGCAAAGCTAACTAGACAGAACCTTCCATTAAAGTTATACTGAAGATTGAAACCAAAGACTCTTCCTTGGTGTTTTATTCAAGTCCAACGATGAATTTTACTCTAAAGTCTGCCGGCAGCCCATCAGCCAACTTCATCTCCACTTCCACTCGCACCACGACATGAAGATCTAATCGAGTTTTTTCTGAAACCTCTTTGTATCCACAGGAATGAAATACAGTTGTACCTCGAGTTTCGAACAGCTCCCAGCTCGAACAATTATGTAAGTTATTTTTGTAAGTGCTTTTGTAAGTGTGTTTTGGGGGTCTGAAATGGATTAATCTAATCTACATTATTCCTTATGGAAATAAATTCGTTCAGTAATGGCACTTGAACAGCCTTCTGGAACGAATTAAGTTTGTAACTCGAGGTACCACTGTACTTGAAGAATGCTTTCTTCAAACAAAGCTTCACCAAACTACACTAAGCTCGACATTTCATCAGGGATTACAGAAGATGTGATGAAACATCAGCTCTTGCAAACCTAATTCTACAGAAATAAATACATAGTCCTCCCCAACAACTCTTACCAAACATCTTCAAGGTCGTCTCCAACAGCTAACTTGGCAATAGCCACCTCTGCCTCTGCTACATTCAAATGCAGAAACACAACTACATAACTACTGCAAGAGTGTACATAATCCTTTGCAACATCTGACAAAATCTATGTAGGTGAGACATCCAGAAAACTCACTAATCATGTCAGAGCACATGTGCTATTGGAATGGAAAAATCCGAGTAAAACTCATGTAATACGTCATAATTTCCACAAACACTTAATAAACTGGATTAGTTCACAACTTATTGCAAATCAAATTACACCCAGAGAAGACACTTTAAATCTAGAATCGTCATTATTTCCAATAATTTTAACAAGGGTTTTTACAATTTATGGTAGCTGAACCTTTTTCTAGGAAATTATTTGGACACTTGGGATCACTGTGGCTTAAGGCAAGCTTTTCTTTCTCTTCACCTCACTGCTACTCACTATTTATATGTTCACCTTCTCTGACCAGGTTTATCAGTTTGTGACTTGATAAAACTCACTTTGTGGGTAAAAATGTCATCGGTATAACTGCACTTGTGTCTCCCCCATCATGTTAATAACTCGTAATATTACCTAACCAATACTATACTATATAATAGATGCTAATAAAAATTGAGCATAATTATATGCTAAGTATGCTGTAGTAAACCCATATATGATAAAATTGCCTTGTTCAGGTTGGGTTTCTTACCTAGACAGGTACTACTCACACCCAACCACTCACTAATACAGGTTACAGTATAGAAAGTTACTGTATATGAAGACAGAGGAACAAGTTGCAGAATATGCTTTTAATAAAGACAACATTTGTCTGTGTAGAGCTTCATCAAGTCATGAAATGCTGTCCCAATAAAAGCTTTTTCTGATATTCCTGTCTTTATTTTTATATTTATTGGCAGTGTTCCATTTCATCAAAAGTAGTTTTATACTTTAAATAATATTGAATAAATATATTTAAAAAAAAAAAGTTGACTAAGTGGGCTACTGACATAGAGGAACTTATGTTGTTGATATATGGAATATTCTTTCAGGTTACCGGTGCTTTAAGGCTGTGATGTTTCTGACCGGGTTCATCTTCGCCTCTGTGGTGGTGTATTTAATCTGCCTGAGTGAGGACTTGCTGCCTCTGGTGGGTAACGCAGGCGTGGCCCTGGGGGCAGGTGTCATGTTCGGACTCATCACCATGCTGGTCCAATATGTGGGTCTTTTCATGACAGGATTACACACTGGGCTTTTTCTTGGAGTGGCTGGCATTGCTATAGCCTATAACTGGTAAGTTTTTACTAAGAATGGCAAGCATTGCTGTAGCCTATAAATGGGAAGTTTTTGAATTTGACTGAATTTATCTACCATCTTTTCAATAACTAATAATTATATAATTTATTTCACTCTTACTAGTACAGCCAAACGGGTGATTGTTTAACAATTCTTAAAGTGATTAAATAATGTAGATAGTTCTACTGAGCTCGTTGAGATTTTTTTATCTCCATTACCTTTATATTTCATTTATTACCATTGTAGTACAGTGAAACCCCGGATTTCGGCTGTAATCCGTTTCAGAAGGTCGGCCTACAACCGAAGTAATATTTTCCATAAGAATTAATGTACATAAATTTAATTAATCCATTCCAGACATCCAAAAATATTAACAAAAAATACATTTTTAAAGATTAACTATAGTTTTACATACACAAAACAATGAGAACTAAATAAAATGACTAATGAAATGGACAAATGAACATTTTAACATCACATTTACCTTTATTGAAGATTCCTGTTGGCCTATGGAAGACAGGGAGGAGGAGAGAGGGAGGACTGATTATTGTTTGGAAGGGGAATCCCCCTCCATAAGGACTTCAGGTATCAAGTCCCTATCTAGGGTTACTTCCCTTCTTTGTCTTTTATTGGCACTAGGACCAGCTTTAGAGTCACTGTACCCGTCACACAAAAAAACTGTCTAGAGAGGTCTGTTTCTGGTGTGTCTAAGATTTGCCTGAAGTGGGACAAGGTTTTGTCATTTAACATGTTGCAGATATGGCTTGTTTCAGCTTGGTCAGGGTGATATTTCTCCACAAAACTTTGCACCTCCCTCCACTTTGCACAAATGTCCTTAATTGCTGAAAAAGGCACCTTCTTCCCTCTTTTCCTCCTCCTCTGAACCAATTTCTTCAGCTGTGGTCTGCTGCTGTTGCAGATGAAGGTCTTGCAGCTCTTCACTGGTTAGCTCTTGGGCCCATTGTGGCTTATTTGCAGTCACACTCAATAAACCACAAAAAACAATGGATTACATATAATGAAATGTTTGGATGAATACATGGAGTGTTCCTCACTCACAGAGACACACAGCCAGACTGACTCGTGCACTAGGCGTGGTGGGCAGACTTGTCCAGTACAGCCGATTTCTGAGTTGCTGGCTGAAATCCAGGATGGAATTTTGGCCAAAAAAGCGGCCGAAATCCAATCTGGCCGATATCCACACTGGCTGATATCCAGGGGTCCATTGTATAATTGCTTAATTTTTTTGATAGTGGGTAATCCAACCTAACCAAACTTTATTATTATTTTTTTTTTTTTTTTTTTTTTTTTTTTTTTATTATTATCACACCGGCCGATTCCCACCAAGGCAGGGTGGCCTGAAAAAGAAAAACTTTCACCATCATTCACTCCATCACTGTCTTGCCAGAAGGGTGCTTTACACTACAGTTTTTAAACTGCAACATTAACACCCCTCCTTCAGAGTGCAGGCACTGTACTTCCCATCTCCAGAACTCAAGTCCGGCCTGCCGGTTTCCCTGAATCCCTTCATAAATGTTACTTTGCTCACACTCCAACAGCACGTCAAGTATTAAAAACCATTTGTCTCCATTCACTCCTATCAAACACGCTCACGCATGCCTGCTGGAAGTCCAAGCCCCTCGCACACAAAACCTCCTTTACCCCCTCCCTCCAACCCTTCCTAGGCCGACCCCTACCCCGCCTTCCTTCCACTACAGACTGATACACTCTTGAAGTCATTCTGTTTCGCTCCATTCTCTCTACATGTCCGAACCACCTCAACAACCCTTTCTCAGCCCTCTGGACAACAGTTTTGGTAATCCCGCACCTCCTCCTAACTTCCAAACTACTAATTCTCTGCATTATATTCACACCACACATTGCCCTCAGACATGACATCTCCACTGCCTCCAGCCTTCTCCTCGCTGCAACATTCATCACCCACGCTTCACACCCATATAAGAGCGTTGGTAAAACTATACTCTCATACATTCCCCTCTTTGCCTCCAAGGACAAAGTTCTTTGTCTCCACAGACTCCTAAGTGCACCACTCACTCTTTTTCCCTCATCAATTCTATGATTCACCTCATCTTTCATAGACCCATCCGCTGACACGTCCACTCCCAAATATCTGAATACGTTCACCTCCTCCATACTCTCTCCCTCCAATCTGATATTCAATCTTTCATCACCTAATCTTTTTGTTATCCTCATAACCTTACTCTTTCCTGTATTCACCTTTAATTTTCTTCTTTTGCACACCCTACCAAATTCATCCACCAATCTCTGCAACTTCTCTTCAGAATCTCCCAAGAGCACAGTGTCATCAGCAAAGAGCAGCTGTGACAACTCCCACTTTGTGTGTGATTCTTTATCTTTTAACTCCACGCCTCTTGCCAAGACCCTCGCATTTACTTCTCTTACAACCCCATCTATAAATATATTAAACAACCACGGTGACATCACACATCCTTGTCTAAGGCCTACTTTTACTGGGAAAAAATTTCCCTCTTTCCTACATACTCTAACTTGAGCCTCACTATCCTCGTAAAAACTCTTCACTGCTTTCAGTAACCTACCTCCTACACCATACACTTGCAACATCTGCCACATTGCCCCCCTATCCACCCTGTCATACGCCTTTTCCAAATCCATAAATGCCACAAAGACCTCTTTAGCCTTATCTAAATACTGTTCACTTATATGTTTCACTGTAAACACCTGGTCCACACACCCCCTACCTTTCCTAAAGCCTCCTTGTTCATCTGCTATCCTATTCTCCGTCTTACTCTTAATTCTTTCAATTATAACTCTACCATACACTTTACCAGGTACACTCAACAGACTTATCCCCCTATAGTTTTTGCACTCTCTTTTATCCCCTTTGCCTTTATACAAAGGAACTATGCATGCTCTCTGCCAATCCCTAGGTACCTTACCCTCTTCCATACATTTATTAAATAATTGCACCAACCACTCCAAAACTATATCCCCACCTGCTTTTAACATTTCTATCTTTATCCCATCAATCCCGGCTGCCTTACCCCCTTTCATTTTACCTACTGCCTCACGAACTTCCCCCACACTCACAACTGGCTCTTCCTCACTCCTACAAGATGTTATTCCTCCTTGCCCTATACACGAAATCACAGCTTCCCTATCTTCAAACTTTACTTAACCTAAATAACTTACATCAAGAAATATGTTGCAAGTAAAGGGCTCTTTATTCTATGAAACTGGAACTACTCTCCTCAGATCAAATTTCATTACCTCCCATTTTCCAAGCACTGTATGGCCATTATGGGTTTAGCACTTCTCCATCAATAATAGTACAGTAGAAACACAATGCACAGATAATATTTCTGGAAGTCACTCTGACTTTTTTTGGGTTATCCTAGGTTCTCTACACATATGCTGCTATGTATGATAATTTATGTGACTGTTTGTGTATACCTGAATAAACTTACTTACTAAAACCTGCACTTTGTGAAATAGCATTATGTACACTGAAGAATGTGTGTGAAAAATAGGGTTAGGTTCCTGGCACCTTGACAAAAAAAAAAAAATGCCAGTCACGTTTATTTCTAAATTTTGTAATTCATCAGAAATAATAAAGCTTTTCATATCTTGCATTATAATTGTTGATTCTTGTATAAGTACAGTGGAACCTTGACTTACGAGTTTAATACATTCCAAGAGCTAGCTCATAACTCAATTTACTCGTATATTAAATTAATTGAAAAGCCATTAATTCGTTCCTGGACTCTGGAGACACGAGAAAAAATACTTGAATATGAGGCTATTATCAACTGTATGGCTTATTTATCTATCACAATTCATCTAACATGGCATAATAAACAATATAATTAGCACAGAAACATGATATATACTCTAGAATGAATAAAATAGGTCATAATATGGTGGTAGAGGCAGCGGCAGAAGTGTTCGCCAATTCTGTCCCAATTTGACTATAGTATCTTCCCATGTTCTTACTGTAAGAGAAAACAGTATTTTTGAGGCTAACTGCAGTAGATAACTAGTTTTCTAAGGAAAACACTGAAACAGTTTATTTATAAAAAAGAAATATCGTATAAAAACTGTTTATATAATATGTGGGTGGGGGATGCTGAGGGTGGGGAATGTTGATGGAAATCATTGTCCTTTTCTTCTCAGCACTGTCCTTTGCACTTATTTTCTTAGGACCCATGGTTAGAAAAAAGAAATTTGGCCAAATGACTGTAAAAAATGCAAACAAGCACGAGAGAACTGCTCCCACAGCGATGTAAACATGTTTACTGCTTACCAGCTGTGCCAACTAGCAGAAGCAATCTGAATTATTATTATGTACGTATTATGCATTATTATTATTATTAATTTAGGGAATTGAAGCTATCATTATTATAATGAACCTTGATGCTGGTGAGGGGCTCTTGATCTAGGGAATTGGATCTGTGCTCTAGTTACTTAAATTAATTATTATTATTATAATCAAAAAGAAGTGCTAAGCCACAAGGGCTATACAGCACTTAAATTAATAATAATATAATAATAATTTTTATTATAATAACGAACGCCGCCAATTCAGTTCACTGTTTACCTCGCTGTGGGAGCAGTTATCTCATGCTTTGCTTACATTTTTGACAGTCATTTGGCCAAATTTTGTTTATCTAAGCATGGGTCCTAAGAAAGTAAGTGTAAAAGTGCTGAGAAGAAAAAGAGAATGATTTCCATGAAATTAAAGCAAGAAATCATAGATAAACAAGCGAGGTGTCCAGGTTTTGGGTTGATGGGGAAGAGGGAGGGGGTATCTGGCTCGTAACTCAAATGTTGGCTCGTAACTGAGAGCAAAAAATCGACCCAGGGATGGCTCGTATCTCAAAAAACTCGTATGTTGGGACACTCTGAAGTCAAGGTTCCACTGTACTGTATAAACTTGGGAGGAATACTCCAGAAATAGTGTATGAGAAGGAATGCTTAACAGTTGGAGAACTGACTGC